GATGAAATACGACAAATTCTGTGGATCAGCAGTCTACAATTGAATTTCTGATTCAGGAATGGAGTCAAGCCAAAGCATCTTAATGTACAAAATAGCTTTCTCTTCTCTCTTTTTCTTCCATTAGCACATGGCAGTCGGCCTTTAGGCTGTATATGAATGTTACTATGTTTAAACTATTAAATATAAAAATGATTTATGGGGGTTTAAAATACCATCATAAAGATTATTTCCATTTATTGTTATTTTATTTTTGCCACTAAGCTGCATTTACTGCATGAAAAAATTTCCACTGGCGATGAAAGGGAAGCATATGGAAAGAGAGCAAAAGATTCTACTTAAAGAATTTAGTCAATTAAATGGAAATTCATAGGTAGAAGAACAGGTACTATTTTAAGGTGAACATCACTACTTCTCTGACATGAATTTCCCATCCTATCTTACCTTTCTTTTATGGTTTCGCGTATCTGACCCCCTTTCTCTGTGCCTTTTTCCCCACCCATTCCCATGTTCTGACCTGGCCTTCAGATGAATAATACCTGATGTATTAACACGAGTGCTGTGCTCCTGGACTTTGCACAACAGCCTTTGAGCTGAAGTGGCAAAAGTCAAGAGAGAGAAGAAAGGAGGGAATGAGGAAGGAAGGGTAGGAGGGAGACAGGGAGAGAGGAAGGAAGGAAAGAAAGAAAAGGAAGAAGTGGGGAGAGAGGAAAGAGGGGGGACAAGAAGAAAGGAGGAAAAGGGAAGGGAAGAGAGAGGAAGAAAAAGGAAAGAAGGAGGAAAAGGAGGAAAAGAAAAGGAGAAAAAAGTGAGGGAAAAGAGATTAAGGAAGCATTTCTACATTTACTCTTTGTGTGAACTCATGTGCCCAGCTTTCAACTTCCATAAAGTTATGATGGAAAATACATTGCATTAAAGACTATTAATGAGGAGGTTAAATATTTGAAATCAAGCACAACACAGCTTTATCTGATGGTAGAAGGTCCAAAATGGGGAAAATTCTCTTAATCTGGGGAAAGAGAAGAAGTGTTTTTGTTGCGTGTGTGCACGTGGTGTGTGTTAGCTTATTAAAAGCTGCCTTCCTATCAAACTCTTTAAATATTGAAAACAATAATTTCTAAGAAGTATGAAAATTGAGTTTGACACAGAAGTTTTTATTCTAGAACTTAACAGAATATTCAGTTTTGTTTTCTCAAAATCTCCTGAGTATATCACACCAAATTAAGTTCTCAAGCATTCAAGCACAATCTTTTTTAACTCCTTCATTTCTTCTCAAGTTTCCTTAATTCCAATTACTTAATCATGATTATCACTTCATATTTATAAAGTATCAAATATATCTCCTGAAAAAATATTTTTAAGGTGGTCTATAGATGCTAATTTCCTCAGTGAGTCAGTTTAAAGCCAAAATTTAGTTTGTCTTATGTAGGCTGTTTTATCATAGTCTGTCATGGCCTGAATTATATGGATATTTTGACTACAGAGAAATTATAAGATGGCAAAGGAAATGAATAGATCAGTTTATATCTGCAAACATTTTCACCAGTAGGAATGAATAACGTGTTACTATTCACATTTTTAAAAATCTATTTGTTTTGAAATGCTCAAAGCCATTGATAGGTTTGGATTTCGTCATCAGACTGTTTTGGCTTTGGGGAAAATCTGTTATCAATTCAATATGATTCTAAAAGAAATTTTAGACTTGTCAACTCTAGAATGTGATAGCATTCCTTAGAAAACTGAGATAAAGAAAGCTTGGAAATAAGACTGTATTTATAAAAGTTCTGTACTGCAATTGATACTTCTGATGTCTAAAGTTTGCTCAAAATAACTAAAAAAAAAGTCCATTTGACACTCCCTGTAACAGTATAGCTGAAAATTTCCTGAAGTGTTAAAGAAAAGGTTGACTAAATGTTATTCCTGGATGGCTGAAGGCAGCAGCATTATGTCTGCCACCCGACCCACTTCTCTCACTTCATAAACTTAAAATAAATTCACAGACAACATGGTTTCCCTTTTTCCTAGTATTTGGAATACATAATGGATGAGAGTAGCTTTCTCTTTTGTTGTCTAGCTTCACAAGACATACACTACCTCAGTTTTAGCATGTCTACTTCTGTAAATTTTGCTAGGCCAGTTACTTTCAGAAAACCTTCACACTTCTTTTGGGCTTGTATCCATGTGTGGCATTTCTGACCACTCTGTCATCTCCAAGGTAATGGTTAGGCGATGCAGCTCATCTTTGTCTCTTTCTGCTCCTAAGTATAAACTGTATTTTAGAAGTTTCAGCTATACTATTTAAATTTTTCTAAATTAGAGCAACCTTTAATAAAGAAGAAAACTTCGCTATTTTAAAATTGTATTCTATTCAGAAAAGATATGTGTTCCTTAAATATCCCACAGTTTGTACTAGAGAGAAAAAAAGTACGACAACTTCAGGTCAGACTTTAAACATAATGCGTTATCAATGAATTTCAGCCTGTAAAGAATTAGCCTTCTGGGTGCACTGCTTCTCTGCCTTGGCTTCCAGCCAGGACTGATATTCTAGCTTTATTTTATAAGTTTCCCCAGCTGCTTCCCAAATCTGGGAATCTTCTAACACCAGCTAGAATCTTCTGGTTTGAACAAAGCATGCTAAAACGCGTCTCTGTTTTTCTCCCTGAGTAGTTACTACTACACGAGGCACAGAAAGTTTGATCTTTGGATTTTATTCTCAGTGGTACATTTCCCGCTCAAACAGAATGTGCTAGAGGATCATATAAATGTTAGAAGGTACAAATATTTTACTGAGTTAGAAGCATTTATTCCCATCTTTAAGAAATAAGGCTAGCATTTGGATTTGAATTAAGAAACTACACTCACTTAAGAATGATTTTTTTTGGGGGGGGAGCAGAATAGGTACAATAGTTTTAATACTCAGATAAAATATGAATGATTGTCCTTTTTTGAGTTGAATACATACATAAACATGCATTTTGATTTTGGTTATCAAATATAGAAATTCCTAATTAGGATTTTTATGTATTTATATATAAAATAGTCTCCATTTACTTTCTTTTGGTATTTAAGGAAAATCACTTAAATGGACACATTTCTCAGATAATAACTTCAGTTGACAAAATGCAACTTGTATACACTGGCAAGTTTATAGAAAGTAAATACTAAAAATCCTTATGAAGTTTTCTCTCTTTTTTATTTAAGAATGATGCCTGAGTTTCTGAATTGCATTTATAGCTTCCCTCTAAGAGTGAATTTCATGTTATAGTTAATAAGTCATACATATTATTATTTTTTCAAAGGATTTTCTAAGCATCAATCTTAGTGCTGACCAACTGTCATTAAGATAGAGTTTAAAGGAAAGAAAAAAGATAATTTCGTTTAGTGTTCAGTTTCCAAAAATCTTCTCCATTAGCTTATCATGAGCCTTCTATCAAGGTAGGTGCTGTGTGATATTGATCATTGTAAGATGAATATTCACAGGATTCCTTACTATAAAAATATCAATGATCTCAGCAGGTGTTAAATTTTCATTTTTGCACTGAGATAAATGTAACTGGTGAATATATTTTGCCTATTAATCATTCTTTTTTTTATAAATTCCAGTTTAAGACTTAGACTGTTTTAGTCAGTGGACCTTACATTCTTGACATACAGTTAGTTGTTTCATGAAAAACCATGACCAACACAGCACCTACCTGGCATCAGGATGTAGCTAACTGGAATATTTTAATTGAAGAAATTAAAATTATTCTTTTGATATAAAAAAAGGCCTTTTAAGTCTTTGTGGGAAAAAATTATTGCCTCCTAGTTTTGAAGATAGTCAACCAATTACAGCAACTTCTGTTTTCATCTATTTCCATGTGTGGCAACAAACTCACAGGATTTGAACCATGAAGTTGGTGAGAAAGCGCATAACTAAAATCGTTAAGAAAACACATCAATATCTTTGTGTGCAATTTCCTTCAAACATTTACGATCTTCAGTTGATGAAAATATTCTGATAGACACCGTGAAAGCAAGAAAAGCTGAGTTTTAAAAAACATAATAAACTATAAACTACTGAAACTTTTTCAGAGCTATAGTAGAACTCACAGTATAACCTATTATAATGAACAAAATATATCATCACTTGAAAGTACTCTTGATAGTAACTGAAAAATACAGCATCTTATTAATCAGGACAAATTACAAGGAAAATACAGCTTTAAAGTCCCCTCCCCCCCTTTTTTTTCCAGCTTTCTCTATCAGAGGTATTGGAAGAGCTGAATGAAAACCATATTTGAATAACATTTCTTATTTTCCAACTTATTCTATTCATGAGGAATTTGGAAGTACTTACAGGTATAACACACAGCTGTTTTTGTCTTCCTGGGAATCTGTGCTTAGGGCTTATAGCATATATTGTTCTAAAAATTTATTTTTCTTTCCTAATAGGACCTAGTAGGAAAGCATCTATTTTTTTAACAGCAATTTATGACTGTATCATACGATTTCAAATGTCTGTGACAGCTGTTTCTCCAAAGCAGACCATTAGGACAGAGCGTGGCTATAAATCTCAGGTCCCAAAGAGAGAAGTTTCCATCTCTAGTAATTTGAATGCCATGTTATCAGTAACACTTCTCAGGCAAACATTTATAACCCACAGTTTTGCTGTTGAGTTTGGAATGTCGGCATTTTCAATACAAAAAGGCTAAAACTGTTATCAAGTGAGGTGTTTATTATGCAAATGTTGCAGCAACAGTTTACAAATATTTCAAGTTCTTTTTTTTTAAGGCAGGACTGTATTTTCCATTTACAGTGCAAATATAACTTCTACAAAGCGTAATGACAAGTAAGCACACATATGCTGAAAACGGACACCACATTTGATTTAAAAAATACCTTCTTCTACATAAATCTTTCACAAATAAAACTTTATTGTGTTCAACTTGTTTACATAGCTAAGCAGCATATATTCATTTAATGTATATACCTTAGTTTCAGCAAATTAAGCAATAACTTACCTAGAGAAGCATTTCAATTTTTTTTTTCTTTTCCTAACTTGAATTTATCCCAAGTTAGAAAATGAGATATCCGGTATTCAGATTCACTTGACTCCAGGTTAATTAGAAGGAGCTTTCCGTTCGTGCAATCTGCCTTAATATTCCGAGCTCACTCTTTAGCTCCAGTCCTAGTATCTCAACTCTTCCAGCAGAGTCTCTTTTTATTTATACCCACATTGTCCTTTTCAAAACAAGCAGCCAGCTGGAATGATTCAAACCTCTGTTCAGCACACCGTTAAAATGCAGCTTCCTTCTTGGACACGAGAATTACACCAGGGAGCGGACCGAGTACAGAAAAAGGCTATGAGAACTATTTAATCACCGGAATACCAGCTGCTCCTGCTCTGCTGCTGCTGCTGCTGCTGCTGTGCTCCTTGTTTAGCTGCGGTCGGTCTTTCCCTCCCTCCCTCTTTCTCTCACATCTCCAGAACTATAAAGGCAGCTCTGCCCGATTATGATTGGCAGAAACAGCCAATTCCTTCAGCTAATCATCCTCAAGACTTTCAAGGACCTGGAGCTCTTGTGATGTCATCCAGTCAGTGGGATGTTACACATGAATACATTCCAACAGAAGCTAATTCAGCGATCAGCTGCATTCCTCTCACACCACGGTGATTGATTAGATGCTCCTTGAGGATTTGCATAATCTTTCATTGTACAGTTGGACTATTTCCTATGAAATTCGAGAGTAAAATTCCACTTTGCAGCTATGACACTATACTGAAAGATTCTCTTGTGTAAAAAAAGAAAAGTTGATGGCAAGGTTTTCTCCAGTAAATACGTGCCAGTCAAACCCATGAGTTATGAACTCAACAAAATCCAAAGATAAGCCATAGGAAACTTGGAGAAATATTAGTGACCTACACACTCCTGAAATTAATAATAATATTTTAGATCATAATAAATGTAGGAAGAAGAACAAAATGAGTAGTCATGTGTGTGTTTAGTGTATAAATGGTTTCATTAATTGAGGCAGATTACTGGATTATTATGGAAAAGTCCTCTTCTCCTCCCAGGATGGACAAAAGTTAATTGTCCCATGTCTCATTTTCTCCTCAGCAGTACAGGATGAAAATTATCTGCTTTTTGCTCTCTTCTAACTCATATTAACTCACAAAGATTTTATAAATTGCATTTAATTACATTATGTAAAATTCTTTGAAACCTTTATTCAGATAAGTACAAGATGAAAGCAAAGGTATCAAGTGTATCCCCTCATTCCAGGGTATCTGATTCCCTGGGCTTTTCTTGCTTTTGAATCTTCTTTAGCCTCCACCATTTAATTTAATGAGATAAAATGTGTTTATGACAATTTGACCCAAGACCCCTTATAGGCTAAAGAACAGAGCTGCAAACTTTCCTCAAACCCAGAGTTCTTTTCTGGTATTTTTGTGTCTTTGGTGAGAAAAAGTTCTGCTTGAGTTGTTGGGGTGGTGTCAGTGACCCTTTCAGTATGCTGCAGGTGGAGGAGGTTATCCTTCAAAGCAAAGGATTTATTGATGATGTGCTCTTTGGGTGAATAATTTTAAGGCACTCAGTCTTACTAGTGCTATTGTGCTGCACAAAGTTTTGAGGTTAAGCAATCTGTAGGCATATGCTAAGTAGAGGCTAGAAAAAAAATCTAGTAAATTATAATGAATATCTACCAGTTATTTCATAACCTAACAACACTATCACTACTAAATTGTGGATCATGTGTCAGTTATTTTTTTTCAGGTGCAAAAGCTAAAAGTTGCTAAAGGAAAACTTTGTATTTTGAAACCCCTCAGAGAAGAGTCAAAGAACTACTTACTACCTTTAAAGAATCTTCAGAAGGCAAAGATGTATTTGAAGATTAAGTCAGGATTTCCACAGTGATTCACATCAAAATTCAAAATGGATAAATAAATTGCAGTTAAATACTTTAATGATAGCTTAATAAAATAATTATTATTAGGCCAGCATTATGCCAAACACTAACTACTGAGAGGTAAAATAAAATAAATTTAAAAAATGCACTGAAGATTTTCCATTTTATGTAAGTACCCATATGAATGTCTTTTTATTTACTCAAGTTTAGTCATCATTTCTGCCTTACAAATACAAAATGAAAATAAACATAAACATTTTAAAATTACTAAAGTTCTTTATCCTATTGACATATTTATATCCTTAGCATTGGTGATAACCATAGCTGTTATGAACTGATTACAAGTGAAAGTTGTTGGTAGGTTTTTTTATCCAATATTAGTCTATAAACAATGCTTGTAGCTAAAGCAACAGCATTATCATTTGGAGTGTAATAAATAATAAGTGAAACCACTTTGACAATGTAAGTGTTATATACAACATTAATGGAAGATATTAACACAAAGTATTTTAAATTATCTGTTAAACACAAACTTCAAAATAAAAAAACCCAAGTTTCTGAGATCAACTTCCTAGCGGGAAAAGAAAAAAAAAGCAATTTACTGTTCATTTCTCATTCAGAAATAAAGTCTCGGGGACAGAGAGTCCTACCAGATATACCATGTATAAATGACGGAAACCAACTAAAAAGTGCTTTCTTTGCTACTCCTGGGGAAAGTTGGAGAAATTCATAGTGTCCATATTAAACAGTACAAATAAAATAATCCCCAAAATACCTTGAATATTTATCTTATAATTTCCTTTGTATATTGTATTTTTATTAAATAATTTATGTGAAAATTTTAATATTTATTATTTTAAAATCTGTTATGTTGGGGAAATTAAATGATCTTGAGTGTTGGAAAGAAGGAATGTGATATGCAAGAGAAGACAGGGAAGAATTATTTTCTCAAAGTGTTTTTTAATCAGTCAACTTGTGCTCCACGATTATAGGCCTTCCACTTAAGTTAGATATAGCATCTATCCAGTTAACTTGTAATAATACACATTATGCAAAGCATTTGCCCACCTGCTCATAGTTGAATTCTATTATTTTTTGACATCCTACAAAGTACAGTATAATTTTTTCTTTATCTATTTAGACATAGGTCCAGGTCCTGAGATATATACTAAACCCTTAATGGATCTTTATTAAGTCGAATTAAATTTGTTGAACAACTAAAGTTTTGGTACTCTATATATTTTTATTCAATTGCTAACAAAAACTCTTTTAAAAGAAGAATGAGTTTCCTAGAAAATTCAAAAAATGAATCATATGCATGGTTTTGAAATTATAAAAAATAAAACTTTGAAAATAGTCCATAATACACATTTAAAATGTATACAGAGCATAGAAAGAATATATCAGTGCTTATTTATTCAGTAGAGGAAACAGGAAACAAAACCAAGACATATTTATTAAAGAAGAAACCCACTGTTTGGTTTATGTGTCAATTCATTTTTATATGGTAAAAGTCAGAGGGTAAGTATATCTACTAACAGAAATAACAGAAGAATTCAGAATAATTCAGCAAACTTAACAAGTGCTAAAATTTCCATTCATTATTTTTTTCTCATTAACTACTTTTTTGTTAATTATTATTAAAGGCAAGTTTTAAATCTATGCATGTACAATAAACAGAAATTTGCAAAGAAAATGCCAAAGAAATATTTACAAGTGCCTTGTCATTTCTAATTTTAAAACCTTTCACATGCATGTACAGATTATAAATATTATCGTTTTAAATATGTATTTTTATTTTTCTAAGTTTCATTTCTCTTCCTTAATTCTACCATAAAAATGACAGTTTTGAATATGTACAATTTAAATACTAATTTATTTTACAGTTTAAACTACTAAAGCTCATGCGTGCAGGATTCTTTTACCATGGTGCCACTTTCTTTCCCCTTTCCTTATAAAGATTTTTTTTTTAATCATAAGCAACTTTCCAGTTGTCCCAAGTAACATAGAAAGGCTCTAACTCTTTTTTAAAGGAAAAAGCATGAATAAGAGAAACTGCTATGTTCAAAGTTAATGCCTTGAGGGGAAAAGCCTCTAATTGGGCTGTGGGTGACTAGTACAAAAACTTTTTTTTTCAAAGGAAAAAAAAAAAACTTCTGCTAGTAATTACTTAGAGAAAAAAAAATGTGAGAAAGAGCATAAAGTCAGTTTAGCTCCACTGGAATCATATAAATGGTGAGAAAAATTCGTGACATGTATCATTAATTATATAATAAGCACTCCAGTCACAGACTTAAATGTTACTTTATTATACATCTGGATCTCTTGTTAGCAAGTTATTGAGAGAGGGGCAAATGGGAACCACAGGTTGGATGAAAGGATCTTCTTGTAGTGCATTGTTTTAGCAAGAGAGAGATCAGCATGTTAAGGCTTCAAATAAATCCTTTGAAGACGCAAAGTTTGAAAGGCCAACAAACAGACTAAACAGACCAATTCCAGTTTGACTGACAACTCCCTAAAGGAACATGATTTTTAATAAATAGCAGATGTTGGCCAAGGCATTATTGAATCACAAAAATCTTTGTTGTATAGCAAAGTGTGAGGGGAGGGAGGACACTAGAAATTCAATTTATGATTATTCCATGGTCTGATCCCTGTTATGAGAATTTCCCTTTTTGAAGCTAAATAAAAGTGGTTAGAGTTCATAAAGTACATTAATTAGGTCACATCTCCATTGGGAATCTCTTACCCAAGGAGAATCTTTAAATACTGCAAAGTGCTTCAGTGTGAATGGGGTATCTACCATAGGGAGTTTCATTTTGCTTCTTCATTTCTTTCTTCTCTTTGTAATGTGTTTGCCAAAATTTCATTATGGTTTAATGGCAACTTTCCTTTTGAAATAGGCCTTACAAGTCAAGTCATTTTATATCCTGTAATTTAAAGTCTGAAGTGCTCAAAATGAGAAACCTACTTGTGGGCCAGAATCCTAGCATCACGAGGATAAATTTGTAAAAACTCTTTTGTCCTAAAGGGTATTTTGTTTCATCTGTTAGCAAATTCCTTTTATCTTAGGTATCTCAATATCTGTTTTCTGTCTGTTCCAGTCCTTTGGGGAAAGGCATCTCATTTATGAGCTCCTCCTGCTAATGTTCTGATCAGCATGGGAAATCTTAGTGTTTCACCAAGACTTCCTAAATCAGTTTCTGTCCTGTTAGCTCCAATGCCTCACTCTAAATTACCATCACTTTGGGATAATTCACCAGACCGTCTCACTCCTTCTCCTATTTGGTTTCAGTATAGTGGTGTGTGTGTTGGGGGCAGGGATTGAGAGGGTGAGTTGTGAGCAATGGTATAAGCATATGACGTTTGAAAGCTAGCCAGCCATGGTTGAAAGTCTCCCTTATGCTTGAGAGGTGATACAAATAAACATATGAGATATATGACCAGGGTCAGCTTGTACTCCTCCTATAAGCCCAGTGGTGCCTTCTGTAACCAGCTAGTAGTTAGGTATCCAGCACTATATTGCTATCATTACCTTTCTTAGAGAACCACACTAATTTTGAGTCTCCAGTCATAGTCCAAGCAATGAAGTCTTTGCTTTTTGAGAACAGAAATCATCTCCTCCCCGTCTCCTCTTTTTTGAAAGTTATATACTCAACACTTGGAGCAGTGTCATGGCATAAAGTAGATATTTGTACTTTCTTTAAAAATTAAACTTATGAATGAATGAATGAATGAATGGTGGCAACTTAGGGTTAGGAAATGGGGAGAAAGGTGCACTAACATTTATATACAAATATATTTTCAATGAAATCGTTGCACCAGTTCTGTGTTCCACAAATAGATGCAACAACTCAATTCAAAATGAAGTCACAAAAAGGAGTTATAAAGTGGGGGGAGTATAGCTCAAGTGGTAGAGCATATGCTTAGAAAGCATGAGGTCCTGGGTTCAATCCCCAGTACCTCCTTTCAAAATAAAAAAAGAAAAGTAAATAAACAAATAAATCTAATTACCTCCCCTCCCCAACACACACAAAAAAATTAAAAAACAAAAAACAACAAAAAAACCAAAGAGGCGTTATAAAGCAATTTTCCCCATGGATAATAAAACCCAGATTAGTTTTCCTTTTTAGAACCCATGTCATTTAAATCTCCCTATTATTAATTACAAATAGAAAGATATTAGTAAGGATAAAGTCTTTATTTCTTCTTTAAATACTTTATATATAATTTGACTTGTATTTACAGAATCAAAGGAATGACACTGTAATTTATAAATGCTCCATCATATAATATGATTTGTCTATCTTTTATAAGTATCATTTTATTTTCAGGCTTTAATTGATATTTCCCCTTTCTGAATAGAAATTATCATTCATGAAATGACTATAAATTAACTGGAGTCAATAAATAGAGTACTCTGAAGATGAGACTATTTTACCAAAAGAAGACAAAACAAATAATTGAATGCAATATAAAATAAATAAATTAAATAAAGTAAAATGAATTCTGTAGTGAATAAAGTAAAATGATACTGTAAACACACTACCTAATGAAGGAATGATAAATTTGTTTGCTGGCTTAGCTGTCTGTATCTATTAGAAGTTGAGAAAAAAAGCAGTAATGAAATTTAGAGGGGAAAGAAAAAGCATGTGATGAGCACAGAAGTGTATCAAAAAATATACTTACCACTCTACTAAAATCTTCAATATTTTAGGTTCCCATAGAGGGCAATATTGTATAAAAGATGGTGAACCAAGAATCTGCCAATTCATCTTTGTTGATGTGCTTTAAAGAAAACTGCTGTTACCATAAATTTGGTGCTGTTCTTCCCCTCAAACTCTGACTGATAGATAAAATGACGCACACAGAAACACAGAGCAGAGACTCACCAAGAGCAAAGAAAATTAATTTGATATCCTACTTAATGGTAGATTACTTGAGTGAATAGCCTCCAGTTTCACCGATAACTGGACTCAATCACCGAATCTCAGATAGTAGATTGCATTCTGTCATATAACTACCATACATATGGGATTATTTAGTCTAGTAGAAATATTAATGGAATAGTGCCTTTATCAATGCCTGAAAGGTGAAAGGTGATCTAAAAATAAGAAAGCCATGTAAATATTTCAAGTCTAGCATCACTGAATCACAAAATCTCTATTCAGTAAAAGGGTGTTGCATGAGTGAGACCTGGGTGACGTGCGGGAAGGACAGTAGAAATTAACCAGGGACAAAGCCATAGCACAGGGAAAAGGCATTAGAGAATGGAATTTTATACTTAGCTATAGATCCTCAAGTTATTTCTGTCACCAAATATGCATGCACTCACTTTCCCACCTCTCCTATAACTTGAAACATAGTTGCTTCACCAGAAGTCCCTTCCTCTCCAAAAGACTAAATATAACTAACTACAATTTGAAGCATTTATTCTCAAATGACCTTTATAGTAACTGCTAATTTGTATTGAGATTATGCTGACAGTAGTAAAGGAAGGACATTGTGCATGTATAATACAGTTAAATCTCTGTATTACTTTGAATACCCAATTATCTGTAGATTTCAATGCATGTGGTGATATGGAGCCCATGGATGATGGGGCATGCTCTAATGGTCTATCAGATATGCCTCAGATGCAATTCTGAAGGAGAGATGACTTTGTAACTTTCCCTTGCTATATGATGTCCTTTCCAAGATTATTATGATGATTATCATATAGCAAATATTTCAAGGCTAACATAAATGAACTAAAATGAATAAAACTATAAGTCAGATTTTTAGTCCCTGAGTCATAAGAAATAGAAAACTAGACTTTTTATTTAGGATATTGCCTTCTACATGAAGGTCAAACTAAAGTAAAATAAATTGTTTAGTTTAAATTGAATCCTTAAAGTTCATTACTTATCAAGTACAATTCCTCAAGTCTAAATAACTAATATTTCCCAATCTGCCAAACTAACTAAGGGGTGTGTGTGTTTGCAATTAAGCAAAAGCTGTATTTGAAGCAATCTAGTTTATATTCTTATCTCAGATTTCCAGATTATCCTGGATGGAGTTATTCCTCCAGCATGAACCACTCTTCCATGTCTACTGTTAGGGTGATGCAGGGAAACAAGCTGTTTGTTAAATTTAATGTTCCCTGTCATTGCTGTCAGCAGAAGTTTGTTTCAATATGCTTGCTTTCATAATACATTCAATGCCAAAATTACGTTATCTCCAAATCATTTTTAAAAGTACTTTAGAGTTTACAAAAGATGTTCCCATAGACTGTTTTGAGTCTCACAATGATTCCATGATTAATACGGAATTGTGAACATTGTACAGGTTAAAATACTGAGACCCAAAACAGCAAATCTGGAATCTACAAGAGGACACAGTGACTTCCAGCCCTGTCATCTCTACACTATACCAAAGAGTTTCTCTGAAAGGATCTGTCTAGACCATGCTCTTTTTATATAATTCTATAAGCTGGATAGCCTTTCAGGTGGCCGTCTAAAACCCTACACTCTTTAAAACATTTGATGGGATAGGAGTCATGCTTTCAACCTCTCTATGTGGCAAGTTATCAATAATTCAGTAACATTCAAATTTCAATCAGTTCCACAAATATCTGGTACACAAAAGCTTATCTAAATTAGAATTGGTCTAAAAGGCCATACAGCAAGAAGGATTTCAGTCAGGCTTTAGAAATACTAAGCAATATTGGGAATCATAGTTACTGAAATATGCTAATGGGAAAATAAAATAAGGGAAATTTATGAGATTTTTCCTTTCTTTTTTATTGAAATACAGTTGATTTATAATATTAGTTTCAGGCATACAACATAGTGACTCAATATTTGTATAGATTATAGTTCATTTAAGTTATTATAAAATATTGGCTATATTCCCTGGGTTATACAATATGCATCCTTGTAGCCTATTTTATGCATAGTCGGTTGTGCTTCTTAATCCCTTACCCCTATCTTGTCCATCTTCCCTTTCCTCCCCTCATTAGTTTTATCTCTATATCTAAGAGTCTATTTCATTTTGTTGCATTTGTTTGCTTTATTTTTTAAATTCCACACATATAAATGATTACATGCAGTATTTGTCTTTCTCTGTCTGACTTACTTCACTAAGCATAACACCCTCTAGGTCCAGCCATATTACTGAAAATGTCAAAATCTTCAATCTTTTTTATGGCTGAGTAGTATTCTGTTGTATATCTTTACCACATCTTCTTTAGCCATTTATCTATTGATAGACACTTAGGTTGCTTCCATGTCCTGGCTATTGTAAATAATGCTGCTATAAACATTGGGGTGCATGTATCTATTTGAATTAGTGTTTTCATTTTCTTTGGATATATACACAGTAGTGGAATTGCTGGGTCATATGGTGGTTCTATTTTTAGTTTTTTGAGGAACCTCCATATTGTTATATACGGCAATGGTATCAGTTTACATTATCCTCCCAACAGTGTCCTAGGATTCCCTTTTCTGTACAACCTTGTCAACATTTTTTTTATTTGTAGATTTTTGATGATAGCCATTGTGACAGGTGTAAGGTGATATGTCATTCTGGTTTTGATTTGCATTTCTCTGATGATTAGCGATGTTGAGCTTCTTTTCATGTGCCTGTTGGCCATCTGTGTATCTTTTTTGGAAAAAAAAGTCTATTTATAACTTCTGCCCATTTTTAATCAGTTTGTTTTTTGTGAGGTTATACTTTCTGTATACTTTTATTTAAATTATACAATTTTTTTTTTTTTGGTGGAGATAGGAATGAATCAGAGAATTTCTCAGATCCATGCTATTGATATCACAATCTAGATTACTGGTTGTCAATTTTTTGTGAGACTCACAGATACCCACAGAAACAAGAGTTTCATACAACAGTTCTTACTATAACTATGTGTAGAGTACATTTAATACTTTACTTTTTGTTCTATTCAATCTTTTTCTATTTAATTCCTTTTCATAAACATTTGAAATGCTAACCTTAATCTGTTAATATAAATGCATATCATGAGTCATGACCTGCATTTTGAAAAGAAATGAATCTGGATTCATATATATCTATAAACTACTGAATACAAAAAAATCAAGTCATTTCTATGATTTTATAATTGGAACTTTTTCTAATTTTTCCACTAAGCTGACTATTTTCATAAATCTTTTAAAAAAACACTGGTTTCATTTCACAAAGTGACCGTCGATACACAATGCCATTCTTCAGAGAATACAGGTCCAAAGAGGCAGAGCAACTTAACATATGACCACAGAAACAAACAGAACTTTCAATTATATGATAACACTGCCTGTTAATGTAGACAACAATAAAGTAACTAACATATTAATTCCCTTTAGGATTTTAATTGTTTGCAATTATAAATTTCTAGACAAACACTTAGAAATCCCAAACTTCCAATTAAAAGGAGAAATGAGAAACCATAAAGCCATGAAGGAAGCACTCAGTATTTTTTCATGATTATTTGTGGGAAAATAGAAAGTGCATACTTAATTGCATCATAGACACCTTATGGCTAGACTGCTTTTAGAGTGCCACTCATAAGCTCATTTTAGTTGTGCACTGTCTATAGTGACAATAGTTCCAACCTAATTCTAAAGTAAAAAAAAAATAAAACAACAAAGAAAATCCATGCTTTTCTTTTGTGAAATGTGCAGCTCCAATTTTAGGGGGAAAAAAATCAGTGCTTCAGAATAAAGAAGAAAGAAGGAAAATGGAGTGGAATGCATTATTGGCCTTACATTGTTACTCCTGCCGGTATTAAAGCCCTTTGCTGCAGGACTTTGTAGTTCCTTCCAATAAGACGGCTACCATATTTTTTCATCCCTTTACTTTTGGATTTGCTACATGATGTATTTTGGACAATAGAGTGAGAAGAAAGTGCCACTATGCTGGTTCCAAACTGAGGTCTGAGAGGCATAATGGGTTTCTACTCACTCTCTTGTAATTCCAT